ACCACAGGAGGACATTGACCACCTGATCAGAAGCATGCCTAGGCGCGTTGGAGAATGCGTAGCACATCAGGGTGCATCCACACATTATTAAAGGTCAAAGGGCTTTAAAGCAGTGCAATCATTTTGAAATTTTTATCATTTACTTATTATGCTTCATTAAGTACTTATACAAATTTTATTAAATAAAACCATTTAAACTGGGTGTTCGGATTTATATGTCACTTAGTATATATCCCATTCTTCGAAAAATGGTTGAAACATATACAGGGTGTTAATAAAGTATGTAGACAAACTATAACCATCGAATCCTTTGTCAATTTGAAGACGAAATTCCCATATGAACATGAGTCCGCAACGGCTTTGTTTTCAAGCTAGAGCATATTAGCACTAAAAGAGATGATAACTGATATTGTTCTACAAAATTATAAAAGAATGGAACGTATTTTATTTTAATTAAGTATGCCCGGGGTGAATATCACATGATTTACAGTTGTTTTCCTATCCTATCGATTTCGCTTTAAGGCGACATTTGAAGTCATTAGTATACAAGACTTCTGTTCAAAGCGTGGAGGACTCAAGAGTCATAATTGTAGAGTCATGTCTGACTATACAAAATACTCCGAGTATTTTCAGGAGAGTTCGTCAGTCAATGTGTAACAGACTAGACGCCTGTATTCAAGTCATTTATTGTGAAAAAACTATTCGATATTTTCTATTGTTGTCGTTCTATTCGAATGTTACTGTTCAAAACTATTGACCTTCTAAATAATTTTTTTTTCAAAAATACGGGATAATACTATTTTCATCCACGTTCATATTGAGCCTCAGCAACTTGTAAAATATGCAAAGTTTATCATAGGTTATACCAACTGTTCAACAAATACGTTTCATTATTCATAGAAATATTTGGAAATTACTCGTATTTCTTTAGTGATAGTGCTCTAGCTCGAAAAGAAAGCCGTTACGGACCCATGTTCATATGAACATTTAGTCTTCAGATTGGTCAAGGATTAGATCTTAAAAACTTCTCTACATACTTTATTTAACACCCTGTATGTACAAGATCCATCACAACACCTCAAAATAACTCTTTATCCAAACAAACATTATCCATTTACCACTGAATTTGCATTTTTCATTCATTATAGCTTAATCACTTATACTGATTGAAGTGGTTCCTCGGAATCCACAATCCCAATTAGGAACTTACATATACATAGTTCCTTTGATTAGAATACTTAGCATTTCGAACCTGTGGTAATGATTTCCTAGGCATTTTAACCAACTAGTATCTGGAGAGAAATATTCGTAAATATTCTAATGAGGTGTAACCGAACTGGGGACAGCAATTTGCATAAACTAAAATAAATAGCTCTATTTTCAATAATTCTGTCTTTACCGCCTGGTATTTTAATTACGTGTTTGCAGGAATATAGGTAATTTATATTTAGTAGTAGGATTTGAATTTTTAATCATACAGATTTTAGCCTGCTCTTCTACATCTTACGAAGTTCTACATTTTGGTGTTGGCAAAAGCTGCATTATCAACCATGCATGTTTGTCCTTTAACACTACGGCCCGATTTTACTATTTTGCTGCGGGAATGAAATTCTGCGACCATCCAAAAAAAAGAGGAATTTGCGACTAAGTCGCCTACCAAATATCTAGATTGATGTGACAGTAATCTCTTAATATTTTATAGAAAATATCAGTGCTCGAGTTAAATGAAAAATAGTTCTTTGTTGCAAAGCCAGGTGATAAATGAAGTATTTCTTGATTTAAGATGGTACTGGCCCACGTTACACAAATCATATAATTTTCCCTTAGTTTTTGAGACATTTTAGAACAGGAGTTACCAACCGGGGGGGCGCTCCTCCCAAGCGGGGCATAGAGGGGGCATGGGGGCGGAAAGCGTTTGCATTTTAGAAAGAAAAAACAAACAAGATTAACAAATAACATAACAATGTAATGTTTAATTTACACGCATAAAATTAGGAATTAAATATCATATTCACTTATTCTGTCAACCGCTGTTTCAAAACCCGGCGTCGTCAATCGCAGTTTATACAAGTTTCAACAAGTCACAACATGAAATCCGCGGGCACCCCCCGCCGCGCTCCGCTTAACATTCATTCATCATTTAGAAAACAATTGTGTACCTACCAGACGCGGGTGAGCATCTGTGACATTCATTCCCACAAACTTGCGAAAAATTTGACGTTTCGATGTACATGTTTTGTTAAGAAATCTGCTTGAGTGTGTCAAGTTATTGTGTCTCACCGTTAAAGGTAAGTTTGTGTATTTACAAACTTCATTTACCATTTTTATTTAATTTGCAAAATTGTTGATTGAGTGGAGACGCGTTCATAGATAAGGCCATTGGGACTTTTTTACCACATCACAATCAAACCGACGTGGCGAAATAATTTTGAAACGACGAACTTCAAGTACCTAATATTGATTCCAAATGTATTTAAAATTACTATTATAACATCAACCTGCCTACAAAAATATAAATCTCCCGGTGGCCAATATACTATTGAATACATTACGTTATTAAGATAAAATAATGGGCATATAATTCGTAATTACATGCAGGTATTTTGCTTATTTATTTATTACTTATTTATTTTATTGTTATAGGTGCAAAATGGCAGCGAAAAAAGAAAGTTTTCCTAAGATTACGTTAAGTTTGGATTTACCTTCATAGAAAAAGACGAGTTACAAATGACTCAGTGTGTCATATGTATGAAAGTTTTAAGTACTGATAGCATGAGGCCCAATCGCCTCGAAAGCCAACAACATCCTACTCTGGTTTTGAAGACGAAAGAGTTTTTTTATTCTAAAGCAGAATCATCAAGCGGATGAAACTGGATAAATCGGGAAGTTATCACACAGGTGTGTCGCAGCATCTCAAAGCTTCATTTGAAATAGCTTTTATGATAGCAAAGCAAAAGAAACCTCATACTATCGGTGAAGAATTAATAAAACCATGTGTCTTAAAAGCCACGCAGATAATTTTAGGAGAAGACGCAGAGCAAAAAATGAAGTCTATTTCTCTTTCGGATAAGCGTAGAATCGATGACATTGTGGCAGAAATAAAATAATTAACAAAGTAAAATTATCGCATTTTTTGACATTAGTTGCGTTGAATCCACCGACATCGTTAATTGTGCACAGTTAATAGTTTATGTTCGTTACATCGGCGGAGATATCATTCAAGAAGAGATTTTTTACTCCCAATCTTTGATAGCAGGTACTACATCTGAAGATATATATATATATATCAAATTTTGTTGAAAAAAATTATTTGGATTGGAAGACACTCAATGGACTTGTACAGATGGCGCACCTGATATGATAGGTGTACTATCGGGCTTAGCTAAGAAGCTCAAAGAAAAAAATCCCGCAATGGTTAGTACACATTGTGTTACTCATCGGCAAGCTTTGGCTTCCAAAACATTGCCACAGAAATTACGCCAGACTTTAGACTCGGCTATAAGGATTGTAAACTACATCAAGAGCAGCGCTTTGAACTATTGGTTATTTTCTTTACTTTGCGAAGATCTCGATTCTGATCACAAAGTTCTTTTGTTCGATACAGCAGTACGCTGGCTGTTCAAAGGCAACATGTTGGCTCGCCTTTATGAATTGAAAGAAGAGGTAATATTATTCTGAAGTTCAAAGAAAAACACGATTTGTTGACAATGTTCCAAGACACATTTCAATGGAGGTTGGCTTATTTAACTGACATATTTGACTCCTTGATCTAAACTTGAAACTTAAGGGCAGAAACAACACTATAATAAGCAATTATGATTATATTCAGCAATGAAAAATAAAATACTGGACGCAAATTCAAAACCTGACATAAAAACTCATTTGCAAGCGCTGGAAGACGAATTTCGCCGATATTATCGAGATATCAATCCAGAGTCACCAATATGGCACATGACAAGAAATCCATTTGTTTTCAATGTGTCACAATTAGGAAGAATTTCTAGAAATGAAGGCTGATTCATCCATGAAAGATGACTTACATCTTTTAACATGGGAGAAATTTTGGATCAAAAGATTGCCTGTTAATTCGACACTTGCCTCTCTTGCTTTACGAATACGTGTTCCTTTTTCTTCAACTGACTTGTGTGAGACAGGCTTTTCTGCTCCAGTTTTAATCAAAAATAAACAGCAAAATTAGACATCACAGGTTACAGTGGGGGTAATCTGGAAAGCTAGATGAAGATGGAGCTAGTTTGGTTGGGGGTTATGTCTAAGGTTATAAATATCATGTCAATTTTGTGATCAGATATTCCCTATTCGTGTCAATAGACGTCAAAAAGTCATTTAGACGTGAAAAATAGGTTACATTTCTATCGAATCTGTCTTTTTCCATTTGCTTTAGACAAACTCTTCTCTGTCAATCTCGAGCATGTCAAATATATCAGTTCTAAGGAGTCGATACACGACACTCTTGCTTATCAAGTAAAATGCTGTTTAATCACTTTTCCGCCATTCTGGAAGTTTCTTCAATTTGTTGTTTCGGGTGTACCAGATACCAACAGAAAATGAACTTGGACCTGGAAGACAGTAACATCAAATACAGGGTGCGGCAGAGAGGACGGACGTTTTTGGGATGGGTAGTACTCTCCGCCTCCGTCTACGAGAGAGGTGGGGAGGGTGCCGTTTAACTCGTGAGATCCTAGCATTATTTTACCAGTTGTCGTTATGGAGCCTTGGACGGTGGAGCACCGCGTTTTCGCCTATGATTGTTTCGTCCGAAATAATGAGTCAGTCATCGTCGTACAGCGTGAGTTTCGTCGGCACTTCAACATTCATCGGAATAGAGCTGTTCCCTCTCGAAACACCATCCTTCGTTGGGTTGAATCACTTCGCAGGCGTGGTGAACTGATCAACAGAAGACCAAGAGGAGCGCCGCGAACATTTCGAACTCCTGAAAATGTTGAACGCGTTCGACAGGTCTTTCTTCGCAGTCCGACTCGATCTGCCCGGAAACATGCTTCACCTTAGTGATCGTTCGGTAAGGCGAATTTTGCATATGGATCGCGTGGAAGTCGCCCAAGTTGAGAGAGCGATGTTGGAGAGAGTCTACGCGAACTTCCAAGATCGCCTCCACCACTGCATCAACGATTTCGGCCACCACATGCCTGATGTGATTTTCCACACTTGACTGTCTCAAATGCTATTTCCTTGTGAACGTGATTCCATCAATAAATTTGTTTTCGAGTAAAAATTAACTATTTTATGATTTTTTAAAACCGTCCATCATCTCTGCCGCACCCTGTATATGGTCATTTGAAAGACTATAAAATTATGTAATTAGCAGGTATCAGTTAGTAAGATTTTAACCAAACAACATGGCGTTTGCTGAATGACGGCAGTTCGGTATAGAAGCCAACAATTCAATTTTCAACGATGCCCGTCATTGTTTGATAAAATCTTCCAAGCTAAGACTATGAAAGTTACATAATTTATTTTTTTTTTCAATCTGTTCGTGTTCATATTGATCAGTATTTTCTTTTTTGACTTGTGCATTTTTGATATTGTACGATGTTAATTGTTTTCTTCCGTTTTTATTTTGGATAGCTCGTCTTGTAGAGAGTAATTTACGTTGTCAGTAGTTTTTTCATTGATATTGTAGCAGAAATTAAACACTTTCGAAAGCTTGACTTGAACAAAGAATCACGTACTCTCGGCCTGACGTCGTTTTTCACTTACCTACATCCCAGAAAATTTGATCTTTGCATCTCAGCTAATCAGCCAAGACTACTCACCTCCTTTAAAATAATTTATACATGTGTGGTTTCATTTGGCCAGAAAATCATGGAGCTCTATCATCATTAAAACCACAGAATAAGTTTTTGGTCTTACATTAACATACTTGTTTTGCTGGATTACTAGACACTCCCTATGGACACATCCGTTGATCTGAAAGATGGTTTCCTTTCTACACCGGTTTGAAGTAGTCGTACTTCATGTTGTCTCAGAAAATGTCAAAATTTCAAAAATGATTACTGATTAGATACCTACAGAAGGAGGGTTGAACGGGGTCGAAATACTTGATACATATATATATATATAATACACCGTTGTTAAAATTATACATAAAATAAAATCAAATTCTAGTGGTACAGATGAAATAACTTTGCATATGATACTACTATGTATACCTGAAATTGATGTCTACTTAACGCATATTATAAACTGCTGTTTAGAGAGGGGATATTTCCCCAATCAGTGGAAACGCGCTATAGTTATTCCGCTACCTAAGTGTTCTGATCCTACTAACTATGGTCAACTGAGACCGATCAGTCTACTGCCAATTTTCTCAAAAGTATTGGAACGCGTTGTTTACGAGCAGCTGTGCGCCTACTTATATTCTAACAAAATTATTCCATCTAAACAATCTGGATTTCGACAAGGTCATAATACAGCTTCGGCACTCTGTGATTTAACAGACAATATAACAATGGCACTTGATAACCAAAAAGCAGTAGCTCTCATACTTCTTGACTTTACTAAAGCATTTGACACCATTAATCACTCGCTTCTTGTATCTAAATGCAGTTACTATGGATTTTCTGAAAAACCTCTTTCGTTTATTCAAACCTACCTTGAAAATCGGTATCAAAAAGTTCGTCTAAATCAACAGTACTCTACGGAACAAAAAATTTGTTCTGGTGTACCACAGGGATCAGTCTTAGGACCGCTACTATTTTCATTATATATCTCAGATTTAGAAACAGAGGTAAAATCATGCAGCATACAATTTTTTGCAGATGATACTCAAATTTTCTATTCATTTAGGAGTAATGACTTAGAAACCGCAAATAATAAAATTAATCAAGATCTTGCCCAAATTGAAAAGTTCAGTAGTAGTCATAATCTTCGTTTGAACCCTTTGAAGACAAATATGTTGGTATACGCAAATAGAACAAAAAAGAATACCTTAAAAAAGGACATAGACATACATTTAAAAGGTAATAAATTAATTCCTGTGGATCATTCGAAAAACCTAGGTATTATAATGGATGATGACTTAAAATTTGTTGCACACGTGAACTATCTACTTACGCAGTGCTACGCTATTCTCAGAGTTTTATTTGCAAATAAGGCTATATTACATAAATCTGCGAGAAAGCAATTGTGTGAATATTTCGTATTTTCAAAGATATCGTATTGCTTAGTGGTTTACTATCCCTATTTAGATATTATAACAAGAAATCGTATTCAAAGTATTATGAATACATGTTGCAGGCTTGTAAATGATCTCAGAAAATACGATCATATATCGAATGCCATTAATGAACTCAAATGGATGAAAATTGATAAAATGTATAAGTACCAGCTCCTAAATCTGACTCATAAGGTTCTTTATTCAAAAACACCGTCATATTTAGTAAACAAATTCATACGTAGAGGAAATATGCATCGTATTAATATTAGATATAGAGAGACTTTTTCAATTCCACGCCACAGCACGTCTCTATTTCAGAATTCATACATTTACAATGCGATCAAATCATATAATTCTTTAGACCGCAGTTTAAAAGAAACCAATCCATTATCCAAATTCAAGAAAAAAGTGAAAGAAGTTCTTCTTGATCAGCAGCGAAATCGGTTGTAACCCATAAGTGTCCTCATATTTTCCTTATGTATTTACTTGGATTATTCGTTATTGTATACAGGTGCCTATTAATTTTCAATAAATTCTTTTTTTTTTTTTTTTTACATCTCGAATTGTTAAGGGGGTTAGATGGTAGAATAGATATATAATCTAAATCTCGCCTCCTGTAAGAATATTACAAATAAAAGACGTTAATTATTATTATTATTATTATTATTATATATTGGAGAGTGGTGTTCCTTCACTATAAATAGTATTTAACCAAATTGCTAAATTCGAGTAATACTTCCATAAAAATACAGATTCATTTGCAAAAGAAAAACTGATATTCGTATTTTTTGAGATAAATTAATATCTTTTTTCCAGAAACATTTCAAATCACTTCGTGTGATCTCTTTTCTCTCCTTATAAGGGTAGATGCAGTTTAATCTGTAGTATGAAAATCCCCAGCACAGGTTTGAATGTCTCCCTAGGCCTGCTATGAACCATAGTAAGAAGAATGTAGG